TGGATAATTGAGATGGTGAGTGAGTTAGGGTGCGAGACCCTGAATGATATGATTTCTAGAGCCGAGAGTGGGAGATTTTTCGGAGCACTTTGAGAAGAAGGGTATTATATGGGAGGTCTACGAACAGGGTCCCATAGGATGGTTATTCAGCATTGTCAAGATTCAATGGTTTTAGTAACCGTTATTGATTGGCGGTGGAAAGCGCCAAGGGAAGTAGCTTGTTGTTGAGACATTAGTTGGAGCATCTATTTTTTTGTACTTCAAGTTGGGTGTGGGATCATTTGAGCTTTAGGGGCTGTTGGTTTCCCGGGGATTCAGGAAGTGTTCATCTAGTTATTAGAAGCGTGTGATCATTTGGGGTTGGCTAGTAAAGGAGTACTAGTTGGAAAGGTCTGGTTGTCATCAGATCGATCGTCGGAAAGTGAGAAGGATTGGGAATTCTCAAATTTTCAAGCATTGTGAAGATGTGGTTGAATCTAAGTGGGGGAGAATCATCCCGGAACGCAGAATAAAGATTGGTTTTGAAACTGGGATAAGTTTCGCATCGTTTTTAGGAAGGAAGACAACCCTAGTGGCTGCTTGGTTTGAGTGTTGTGTGAGTTGGGAGTTCAATAAAACTCCCCAGCATGTGAATCGCGTCTTCTCGGTGCTTGATAGCAGAACTTAGGGAAATCAGGTTGGGATTCTAGCCATGAATTAAGTTCAGTCGTGTGTTAGGTCGAGTGCATGTTCGACCGGTATGGAAAGTGTTGTAAGACTGCGAGGGTAGTCATAGCATTCACTAACGATCAGGTAGTATGGAAAGTGTTGTAATACTGTGGGGGTAGCCGTAGCATTCACTAGCGATCAGGTAGTATGGAAAGTGTTGTAAGACTACGGGGATAGCCATAGCATTCACTAACTGCAGATAGTGTGAGAAGTGTTATAAGTATGCGGGTGTAGCCGTACCATTTACAAGGTTACCAAATAGTGCTAGAGTGATGTAAGTCTATGGGATTAGCCGCAACATTCACTAGGTTGGTAGACAGTATGAGTGCGTTGCTAGGATGCAGAAGGGACAGTAGTAACCACCAGTTCGAGTGTAGCAGTGAGGATATGGAAATTCACGGATGGGTTTATGGGTTTCCCCAGAGGGATTAGACTTGGTTAAGCCAGTGATACGACTGTAGGAACGTCACTACATTTATGAGATCAAGGAAACAATGGATTGCTTAAGGTTGCTTGTGATGTAAGGCTACCATTGGTCATGTAGCAATCACTTTTAGCCGTGGATTTGGTAACGGTGGAATTCGACGCATGGATCCGATTGATTGGATCAGGAGGTTTTTAAAGTCGTAGTGGCATGATAACTAGTGGCAAATTTCGTTCGGAAGTTATTTGAGGCAACTATGTGGGAGTCCTTTAGCTATGCGACCGGGCTAGAACCCGGTATGTCAGATGATTTGGTGAACGAATTGAGACCAGGGAGGTCTAGGTAGATTTTGGAAAGCAACCATGTGGCAGCATACTGCTTCAGGCAAATAAGTGTTTAGATAGTTTCCGCGTTTAGGATGGTATTGACAAATTAGGTCTTCAGATGTATGAGAAGTATCTAGATGTTGGAACCCCATATATCAGGAGTTGAATAGTTAGATGAGAGACAAGCGGACTAGGCTCAACAATAATGATTTGATATGAGAGGTCTGTCAGGAGCAAGACCATCTCGAGACTTCAGGTTTCAGATCGAGTAAATGTGATCATATTGCAAGGGATTCGTTTATTTTTAGATTTTAGAACCCTGGAAGGGTTGGTTACGGTTGCCTTGGAAAGGTTGGGATATCCTTGTAGTTGCGGCCATGTAGTTCAAGTTGTCTGGCGTGTAAGGAATGATAAGAAACAATTTCGAGGACGAAATCAAATTTAATTTGGGGAGAGTTGTAACATCCCATTTAAAATAGAATAATTAAAATAATAAACCCGGAATCCCGAGAAATAATTTTACTATTATTTTATATTATTATTGTCCAAATCAAGTAATAATTATCGGATGTTGGTTTCGGGGGTTAAAGTGTAATGTCGGGATTTATTTTGTAAGGATTTTTCAGTAGTCATGGGGTGTTTGGCATTATTTGTACCTAGTATATAAGAAGTTATGGAAGCATGGACTAAAGCGTAAGTTCTGAACCTAAATTGAAAAGGGTTTTGCATAGGAAGGGCTGTTTGGTAACTTTTGGATTGAAATTGAAAGAAATAAAGATGGAGGGGCTGATTTTGTTATTATGGGAAAATGTTATAAGGGAGTCAGGGAGTATATAAACCCGCTACCATCGTTCAAACCCTAACCCTAAAGCATTATGTGCAGCCGCCACTATTCTTGGGTGCTCTTCTGCCGCCGTTGTGAGTAATTTCTGGCCGCCGTCGAGTTACCGCTGTGAACCACCGAGGCAGCCATGTCCATCCCTTGCTACACCGAGTTATCGAGCAACTGCAGCTGCCTTCCTTCCGGTGAACTCGAGTGACCATTTATTCCCGCCATGTTCTTCTCCTTCTCTCCCTCCAGCTGCTATATTAGAGCCTTAGTCGCCGCCCTGTCGAGATTGATCGCCACTATTTAGCGCCGCTACTGTCGAGTCATACTCCAACGGAGGCGTAGCCTCCCTTCCCCCACGACAACAGCCTTTTTCTGCGACTTCTTCCGCCGTTGTTGAAGCCATAAGATCACCGAGAATCCGTTGTGTCATCTCACTGCCGATGAAGATGGAGATACAGCCACCTGTTGGTTTCAGTTGAAGGGATTAAAGGGTGACCACTGCAGAGACCATGGTGGTTCGTGGTTGTGATGAGGTCGCGGGGACATTGCTGCTGTGAAATGTCATCAGCCGTCGCTTGCTACCATGTTTCCATCGCCACCAGCCACCATGGAAGGTGGTTATGTGTGTGTGTGTGATTTTCGTATACTTTAGGTGGGTGAAATGTAGTGTGTGTTGTAGTGTGTGGGTGGGAACCCCTTGGTCGGAATCTAAAAAGAAGTCACCACCATCGGGAGGTGGTGGCTGCCAGCATCTACCACCGCCCTTCTGATCGACTTGAACAACATATACGGAT